ACATAATAGGTCATATGACCTAAATAAGTAATATGCGTGAAACAATAACATACCTATGACTCATAATCATGAGTCATATGAAAACCTTTTCTATGCCAAGCCACGTTCGTGACATTAGCTCCACTCCTCCTAAGCCTGAGTCCCATCAGGTTTTATCCTCAAGTTTCAATAGTTCCCATCCCACCAAATACATGGACCTCCGGAACCTACTGAGCTTGTCATCTGCTTCCTGCCATCTTATCCTCACTGTTTCCAGAGTGAGCTTTGCCATGTCGATTGTGCGCTATTGGGCATCGTTCAGCTGCCTCAGCTTCACGATCGGTTTATCATTTGCGGAAATTGTGGCCTCGGATTGGCAAAGTTGTTCTCGCAGTCCTCAGATTTGCCTGTGCAGGCTTCTGGTATCCTGTTCTGTTTCCGTAGATGAATTTTGGGCTCCCCCCTCTCTGGGCCTCATCCTCGAGGCCCTAGCCCTCTCCCATACCATGGTATCCTTTCCGTTCAACTCTTTCTTTATTCCATTCTTCTGCTGGTAGTATCCCACAGTGATTTTCTTCATCCTGTACATCTTGCAGATGTAGTTGAAGTAGTGTTTCCAGTGCTTTAGGGCATAGTCTGGGTGCGGACCATACTTTTGGTATTCTGTCGGGAACCACCCCGAGCCTTCCTTGTCCCCATAGTGAATGGAATATCCATTATCATAGCATACCATCCATGACATGGTATTATGCTGTGCTTGTTTTTCACTTTCCTTGAGTGCTTTATCGGTCGGCCCCATGAATGAGTATTGGAGCTGGTTGATGTGGTTTGGCGGGGGCTATCGCCTCAGTCCTTGTGTGGTTGCAATGTCATGGGAGCCTTTCCCTCGCCTTTGACTTAGTTGAATGTGATCGTTACCTAGGCCGGGCTTGCCTGGGTATCACTGGTGGAAGGTTGAGATGGCATCTTGTGAGTATTAGAAGTTGTGTGCGAAGTACCAAGTTTTATCGTGTTCTGGTAAATAACCGGTCCACTTGGCCCAGTATTCTAGATTTCTGTAGGTGAAGCGAAAATCGACTATCTCGTCGAGTTTCTATTCTGGTCCTCCGTTGAGTTCAATTGGAGGGGGAGGAATAATTGTTTGTGAGAGAAACCTATTGTCATTGTGTAATTCAAGGAGTGAGATGTGAATTATGTTGTGTATTCACATTAAGGAGGGAAGGTCGAGTTTATTAGCGCGGTTGCCCACTGTTTCCAGTATTGTGAATGGCCTGATTTTCTTGTAGTTGAACTTCTTTGATGGTCGCGTCGTATGGATATTGCGTGGTATTAGTCCTACTATATCTCCCAGTTGTATGTTTGGATCCGGACTTCGGTGTTTATCTTATTGTTCTTTTTGCCGTTGTTGCGCTTGAGTCATTTCATATTGTAATATCTTGTCTAGTTTTCCCATGTCTGTTTTATCCAGTATTATACTGTTAATCATATGATATGTGGCTTGACTTTGTAGATGTTGTTTGTAATTCACGAAGAAGGCTGTCGTGCTAATTGTTTCTTGTTTACCATTGTTGTTTGCGAATTCGGCCATTAATAGCAGTTTGTACCAATCATCTTGTTGGTAATTGACATAGGCCTGTAAATATTGTTTGAGTATTCCATTTACTCGTTCTGTTTCTCCATCTGTCTGTGGGTGAAATGCTGTGCTCAGCCTGTTTTGTATTCCCATTTCTCCGGTTAATTTTTTCCACAGTCCTGATGTCAACAATGTTCCTTGGTCGGTAATAATATTCTTTGGAAAGCCATGAAGTTAGAAGACTTCTTGGAAGAATGTTTGTATAAAATCCCTTGTGTCTAAATCTTTTCTGACTGGAATAAAATGACTCATTTTGGTCAGACAATCCAGCACGATCAGGATGCTATCGCATTTCTCCGATAAGGGTAGATCCATGATGAAATCCATAGTAATTATTTCCCACGGTCGTTAGGGAACTGCATTCGATTTCAGTAATCCATATGGTGCATATTTAGCCGTTTTCGTTCTTTGGCATATGTCGCAATTCTGGACATATCTTTTGACGTCTTCGTACAGTCCTGGCCAATTGAATGCCCTCATGATGAATTCTGTGGTTTTCACCACTCCTCCATGTGGTGCCATTCGGATATCGTGGTATTGTCGTATGATATCTATTCTTAACTTTTCTTCTTCAGGAATCCCTTGTTTTCCATCGTACCACATGTTTCCATCGTCCCGTTGGCATAAACCTAGAGCGCTTCCTTTCATCTCCTTTTTTCCTTCCTTTAACACTTCTCTTATTGCCTGAATTGTTTTGTCTCCTTCATTTGCCTTCTCGATTTCCTTTTCTTCTGTTGATGTAAATTGGATAACCTCTATTGCCTCGAACTAGGTTCTTGGTAATAGTATTCGTGTTTTTTGGTTGATTCTTTCGTCTTCTTTTGTTTGTAGTTTGTCGCTTGCAATCCTTGTGAGAGCATCTGGCTTCCCACTCTCTTTGCCTGGTTGGTAGTCAATTTTGAAGTTGTATTTGCTGAGGTGTTCTATCTACCTTATCTGGTAGTCGTTCAATTCCTTCGTAGTCATGAATGGGACCAGATTCTTGTGGTCGCTTAGTACTCGGACTGGATGGTTGTTGTTCAGAATATATCTCCTCCATTCCTTTAATGCTTGAACTGTTACTAATTGTTCTTTGTTTGCAACGTTATAGTTGTACTCTGTAGGGGTCATTGTCTTGGATCAAGAAGACACTGGCCTCCATTTTCCGTCTTCGTATTGTTGCGATAGGATGCCTGAACACACATATTTCAAGACAGCCATTGCAATCATTGTTCTTCGGTTTGGGTCGAAGTTTACCAGTATTGGTACTGATGATAGATGTATCTGTATGGTATCGTATGCCTTTTGTTCTGTTTGTCCCCATTCCCATTTCTTGTCTTTCTTGGTTAGGTTATAGAGTGGTTTTGCAAGCCTGCTAAACCCTTCTATAAACCTTCGATAAGAGATGCAGAATCCCATAAAGCCTTGAACAACTGTTTTGTTTTGTTGGGCCCCATCCTATATTACTGCTGTTGTGAATGGGTCGACCTTGATCCCACTCCAATTGATGATAAATCTGAGGTATTTGGTTTCTTCTTTACGGAATTCGCATTTTGTTGGTTTGATCTTCATTCCTGATCCTTGTTATGTGGCCATAATATTGCTAATATCCTTCTGATGTTGTTGCATGTTTTCCGAGTAGATGAGTACATAATCCAAGTATACGATGCAATATATGTCGAGGTACTTATTGTGTACCTTGTTGATCCATCTTTGGAATGAAGCCGGTACATTGGTTAGCCTGAAAGGCATAACCAAGTATTTGAACATCCCGTATCTTGAGGGGAATGTAGTCTTCTATTTGTCTCCTGCTTTGATGTATATATTGTGGTATGCGTCCTTGATGTCTAGTTTGGTGAAGTATTTTGCAGACCATAGTCTATCCAGTGCCTCTTCGATTAAGGGTAGTGGATATCGATCTTTTTTGGTAACTGAATTGAGGGCTCTGTTGTCTACACAGAGTCTCATATTTCCATCTTTCTTTTTGACGAATAGTATTGGAGATCCTCCAGATGGAAAGGAGTCTCTGATCCATCCTCGCTTTAAGTTTTACTCGATGTACTTTCTAAGTTCTTCGAGCTCCACTTCCCCTAGTGGGTATAACCTCTTGTAGGGAATCTCTTTTGTTTTTCCCGTTTTCTCGTCTTTGTCTAGCTGAATTTTGTGGTTGATCCCTGGTCTTAGGGGTGGTAGCCCCATAGCCTCTTCTTAGAATAGGTTCGTGAATTGAAACCAATTTTCTAATGCTAAGAAACTGAGATAAGGAAATACTGGGAATAGCATAAAGGAAAACTCAAGTAACATGAAAGTACAACGCCAAAGAAGAGTTGAGCGATACAGCAGCTTGACTCACGATACCGAGATTCCACTAGTGGAGGCTTTGGTGAGGTTGTCGCTGCTCTTGCCTGGGGAGATCGTTACGACCGATATCTCTCCAAGTGGCAATGAGGGTGCCTGGTGTTCGTCCGTGAGGGGTGGGTGGGCGATCCAAAAATGCGAGCAGTTAATAAAGAACGTGATCTGTGGGAAAGCTGAGAGTGTTGAAGTCTAGCAGCATTCCTGGTGGTGTTCTAATAGGGGTTCATGGATGCAGTCTCCTGGAGCTATGACCTCGTGGTGGTCCAGCAACCGAGGATAGGTTTTGCCGGCCATATTCAAGACACTATTCTCTTTCCAAACCGACCTCCGTGCACCTTGCCCAATTGGCAATAGGTTGTCCCAACATACTATCCAATTTTCCAACGCTAAGAAACTGAGATAAGGAAATACTGGGAAAAGCATAAAGGAAAACCCAAGTAACAGGAAAGTACAACGCCAAAGGAGAGTTGAGTGATACAGCAGCTTAACTCATGATACCGAGATTCCACTGGCGGTTGCTTTGGTGAGGTTGTCACTGCCCTTGCCCTGGATGATCATTACGACCGATATCTCCAAATCAAGGTAGGCTATCGCTTGGGAGCCTGAGTTGGCCTGCTGTTTAGTCGGTAACAAATCCCACCCAGGTCTAGGCAGGCTGATATGTAGCTAACAGGTGCAGCGCAGGCCTACCTGGAAGCGCTTTGATAGAGATATTCGCTCCTGGCTTGAGTACTCAAGGTACCTCTTATATGCATCAGAACCCCAGCGCCCCAGTGTTTGGATTTCGCTTTCAGAGATTCCTACTTCTGCTGCCCATATGGCAGCTCCTCTATGGAAACTGTGTCCATTCCACATTCCCTGGCCGAGTCCAGCAGTGAGTGCTAGTTGTTGAAGCTTTAGTACTACGTACTCATGGGTGAATGCTTGTTGTCTCTCTGTTCCGATGCAGAACAGTGGTGCGTGGGGTGGTCTGTGTGTATTTAGGGCAAAGAATTCTCTCATAGCATATATTGGACATGCCGTGTCGTAGGTTGTGGCTATTGTGAGGTTTATCCCTTTGCAAAAAGGGTCTTTTTTTGATGCTGGGTGTATCACTTCCATATATTACCCGCTGGCTCATATCACGATACTATCTTTGGTCAAAAACCAGTTTGAGAAGGTTAGGCCCTAGTCTCTATCTGCCTGCTTGTAGGTAAATTCTCCGACTCGCAGGAATCCTGCGAATGCTAGGGTGAATGCAGCCTTGAGAGCTATGTTGTCATAGTTCGCTGGTCTTAGGCACTGCAGAACACGGAGGAGGTAAGGATGGGAGAGTGGCGTCCGTATGCAGCGCTCCGGTTCACTGTGGTTGTGCTTTATTCATTGAATTGTGTGCTCGAGTTGGGGGTCCGAGGATGCATAGCAATCAATTCCGAGATCAAGCTGGTATGACCTGACTCCTGTGAGGTATAGGTTCATAGTTTTTACTTTTACTGTTCCTGCCAGGGAACAAAGCCATTCAATCAGCCAGGTGGGCTTCACTGGAAAGCACCCCCCAGTTTGGTGTCGGAAGTCTGATAATGCACAGAATATGGTGAAGCGGGATCTTGGGGTTTCGTAATTGCACCGTGTTGATGGTGCCAGCCCACGCCACAAGTAGTAGGCTGCTACTTCTGACAGCCCCGATTCCTGAATGTTCGAAATCCATGTTGTGGGGGGCTGGATATGGGGGATAGTAACTGTAGTGCGATGTCAGCAATTCGGTTAGTTTCTACTCGTGATTACGCATCTGCCAAGACATTATCTTTGGTCGAAACCCATCTAGCCTCCAGGTCCAAGTCAAACTCTGTAGCTAGGAGGAGGCATCTCCGCAGTACTTGCATTGATTTTCCTTGAATAGTACGATTGGTGAGTCTATGCACAACAGCTTTATTGTCAACATAGATTATTAGTCGTTTGCCTATCCAGTCTGCTCCCTAATGCAGGAGTACTTGTTCTACAGCTCGCATTTCTTGCGTATTGATGTGTTCCCGTCCTTTTGCTAGGGATGCCGGAAAGGAGATCGAGAACGCTGAATCTCGCTCGAGATAGGACTGGTTTTCAGGGAGGTAGAATGCGCCCAATCCTTTTGTACTGGCGACATCTGACCAGGCACGGATGACCTCTCGCCTCATTTTCGCTATTGACCTCTCTGGTGCTACTGATTGTGCTTCCGCCCACCAGGTTAGGTCTCTCTGTACCTCCCTTGATATCCGTCGCTGTTGGTGTCTGGCCCCGGGTGGAAAGAAAAGCTCCATGTTATATAAGCGTCTGAGAAAGGTTCTACCAAGGGGTATCACGGTTGAGACGAAATTCAGGTAACCTGTAATCTTTTGGATCTCGAGGAGCGATAGGGACTTCTGGTCTGTTGCGTTTTGGATGATGGCACGTGCTTTGAAAAGGTTCTTTTCTGGCAGGTGGATCACCATGCGCTCGGTGTCGAACTTAATGCCGGTAAAGCTTACTACCTTTCCCTCCTCATTTTTAGAGGTTTTGATTGTGAGTCATACCTTGTCGCAGAGATTAGAGAATATTTCGCTGAAGATGTCAGGATTTTTGCCAGCGGGGAGTGCTAAGAGAAAGTCGTCGAGATAGTGGACGACTATGGGCCTGGTATTCTGCTGCTTCAGCTGATCATCAAGGATCTAATGAAAAACCTCTGCGAATAGGTTGAAAAGATATGGGGCCGTTCGCAGGCCGAATGGGAGGAACCTTTCAGCATAGTATCAGTTCTCCCAATGGAATCCAAGTAGTGGTGAGTCCTCCAGTGACACAGGTATATGTCGAAAAGCTGACTCAAAATCCCGCTTCACTAGAATACAGTTTTTTCCGAGCTCCTGCACAGCTCTTATACCCTTGTTGATTCCACTATAAACTATTCCACTGTAGGGCTGGGGGATTCCGCCGTTAATAGCTGTTGAGAGACCTGTTGGATAAGACAGGTGGTGGATTCGCCTTTTGCTACCATCGGCATTGTCCACCAGTCCTAGTGGTGATGCGGTGTAGTGGTTTGACAGGCTTGCGCGATTGGGGTATAGTTCTAACTGTTTTTTCTTCATCTCAGACTCTATGTCTTGAGCTACTAGATCTGGGTTTTCTTCAGCGCTTGCCAGGTTGGGGTGGATCACAATCCCATTGCGCTAGCCCTCATAGCCGATTCGCGCACCATAATGGCAAATGCCAACGATTGCTGTTATGACCTGCTGGTCGGGGTACTCTCTAGTAAGCTCCTTCCATCCATTCGCTTTCCACTGCCTTGGTGGCATTGGCATGGTATGGGTGGTAAATAGTAGGTGGTGAATACAGGTATTGGGGCATGGTTGTTGTTTGCTAACAGGTGAGTACGAATATGAGCCTAGGCTAGAGGCAGTATTAGGTCTGGCTGTAGTAATCTGAGAGGCTTGAGTGGTTGTAATCTTACAATTATAAAGGTATGAGAGATATGTACAAGGAAGAGGAGGTTGGAAATTGCATGAGTAAGAATAAATTGGAATGATTAGGAAAG